CAACCGGAACAATATGCCACTCTGGGGATGAGCCTTAATGCCTCCATCAACAAAGACAAACAAAAACACTTCATATTAATTTTAAAGAACTGAAAGAAAACATTTGATTTAGTAGAGTTAGGGCTGCAACAAATTATTTTGCAATTCGGTTAATAATTAGATAGCTGATTAAAGAAGACTTTTTAAGAAATTAAACCAGATAAAACTAAAATTTTTCCACTTGAGTTCTGGATAGAGCATATTTACAGAAGAAATAGTTTTTTTTTTAATCCAAAATGCAAAGTGTTTATATATTTTTCTACAATTTTGATATAATTACTGTTTTAAGTGTGTCACTGTCAGCTACAAGCATGTTTACAGTCTCTATAATCCAGTTAATGATTAATCGATTACTTAATTAGTTGATGATTATTTCAATAATCGATGAATCACGATTAATTGTTACAGCTCTAATTAAAATAATACTAGATCAAGTGAAGAAACAGCAGCCATGATGTAAAAAAAAACTTGTAGCAAATGAGTGGATTGTTGGATTCATCGGACTCAGATCATCAAACTGCTCAGGCCATGACAGAGTTTATAAAAATGTGATATTTTGGAACCACCATAGAAGTTCCTACATACCAGAGGGGCCCTTCCTTCGTCCTCAGACCCCGGGGTCACCCCACCGGCTCTCTCTGCAGACGCAGGCTGCAGCCAGGCATTGGGACTCGGGCTGGGGGGTAACCCAGAGTCCGGGCTATCGAGTCCTCCCTCAGTCCTGCTGCAGTTCATACCCAGAGGATCTCCGTCGATTACATTTAGCAACTTCAATTCTCCAACCATATCTGGTGAAAAGTTGCGAAAGTCCTGCGGAGTGCGCGAGACGCGGCTTATGAAAGAGAAGTTGCGTCCCCCGTGTTGCAGCAGAACTCCTTCCCGTGCTGAGCGCAGCGCTGCAGGCTGGAAATATCATTAACCTGAGGGGGAGGATTCTACTTCCTTCACATTAATATAAACTGATCAGACTTCCAGCTTCCTAAAAGGGGGTGGGGGCAGGGGCTGTTCTTCAGTGCGGGACTCGGATTGACTGAGCAGAGCGGCCACCCGCGGCTCGTCTTCAAACTTTGTGCCCCTAAAAGGGGCGGGGCTTTCACAGCCGCAAACACCGGAAACGAATCGCCTTTCCGAGCGTTGATTGGATGGAAGATAATTGGTAGCAAGAGACAAAGTAGGGATTTAGGAGTTTTTCCAGACTCTCAATGGTAGCAGACCCACAGTGAAGCCTGTGGTTTCTAAAGTACACACATTTGTTACTTTAGCGGAAGTATAGATACTACAGTTTAAAAACACTCAAAGTTGAAGCAATGGCATAATATCAGTAAGCAGAGACTGCAGTTGATTTTCACTGACACCTGGTTGGCCCCCTAACAATTGTGGACTACGTCGTTTTTTTGATGCGAAAAATTCCTCTTATACCACCTGATTCTGGTTCAACTGACCAGACCTTATTTACTGTATACCCCCAACACATGGCAGATTTTAACATAACGGTGAGCCGTTAAAGGAATAGTACACCCAAAACATGATTAGCCTTCATTTTCTACTCACCCCCATGCTGAACAACACTCTGGAGTACTTTTTTGATATCTCAAATGCATCTGGAGATCTGGGAGGCTTCTTGCTGTCTGCTGACATTCAAATAATGGAGGTCTACGGCGCCCGAGGCAGAAAGGTCCATAAAAGTCCACAAAAAACGTGTCAATATTCCTCCATACTGCTCGTCCAATGAATTCTAAGTGTCCTAAGAGGGTAGCGTCCATAATTTACTCGAAGCGAAGTCATTTAGAATGTTTTTAGAGCATAAACAGTAGTGTATAGGATTTCCTAAAAGCGCGTTCACGAGTCTACGGAAACCGCGGCAGACCAAACCAGATGAAAGTGCGCACTAAGGAATAGTGCACTAAAGGTGTACTATTCCTTTAAAACACGACACCAATAACAAAGCAGACACTGGTACTTTTAATTACTATGTTAATAACTGTGTATAGTTCATTAGACGGTTGGTAAAAAAAATACACTCATATATTTTGTTTCAAACCCCAATAAAGATCCTAAAAGAACGATGAATTTGAGCATTTTATTTTTTACACTATGACTTGGAATTATGGGTAATCCAGAGAGTAGATTAAATGGGGTGTTGTACTTCATATGGGGCCCAGCCAGATAATGTTGCTGTGTCGTTACGCCATTGAGTTGAAGAATCAACTTGACCTCTTTAATCAAGTAAAAGTGAAAAAGTATGTGTTCCAAAAACTACTTAAAGCATAAAAGTATAAAGTAACCTTAAAAAAAAAAAAAAAAAAAAAAAAAAACAACCAGATGCCACTATATGAATGAAACCTCAATTTTTCGACTGTTTTGAAAAATTCTTTGAGATAGGGCCAATGATGAGGGAGGTCTTGTTGGTCTCCGTCTCAATCTCCTGATACGCTCTCGCCTGTGCCCGATCTTTCAGACATTTCAACATCTTTTTCTGAATCCATCATTGTATCATGTCATAGATAATTCACGTTTGCAGTTTGAAGAACACCTGCTTGCTTCTGATGAGTTCCTATAGCTTCTGGCTTTGTTATCTTCTGGCTCCGGCCTGCTCTGCATACCTAGAACCAGAACTAAACATGGAGAAGCAGCATGTAGTTCCTATGCTCCACTTATCTGGAACAAACTTCCAGAAAACTGTAAAAGTGCAGAAAGCCTAAATTCCTTTAAATCAAGACTAAAAACACATTTGTTTGGGATTGCCTTTGACTGTTCTACTGAAACATCATTAGTTCAACTTTATTTTTTTTAGTACAATTGTTTTTAATGTTCTTTTTTGTTATTTTATTTTTTCCTACTTGGTTTGTTTTATTTTCCTATATTTTAATCATGTAAAGCAATTTGCATTGTCTTTGTACTGAATTGTGCTATACAAATACAGGTGCTGGTCATAAAATTAGAATATCATGAAAAAGTTGATTGATTTCAGTAATTCCATTTAAAAAGTGAAACTTGTATATTATATTCATACATTACATACAAACTCATATATTTCAGATGTTTATTTTGTTTAATTTTGATGATTACAAATGACAACAAATGAAAATCTCAAATTCATCATATCAGAAAATTAGAATATTGTGAAAAGGTTCAAAATTGATGGCCCCTGGTGCCACACTCTAATCAGCTAATTAACTCAAACCACCTGCAAAAGCCTTTAAATGGTCTTTCAGTCTAGTTCTATAGGCTACACAATCATGGGGAAGACTGCTGACTTGACAGTTGTCCAAAAGACGACCATCGACACCTTGCACAAGGAGGGCAAGACACAAAAGGTCATCGCTAAAGAGGCTGGCTGTTCACAGAGCTCAGTGTCCAAGCACATAAATAGAGAGGCGAAGGGAAGGAAAAGATGTGGTCGAAAAAAGTGTACAAGCAAGAGAGATAACCGCACCCTGGAGAGGATTGTGAAACAAAACCCATTCAAAAATGTGGGGGAGATTCACAAAGAGTGGACTGCAGCTGGAGTGAGTGCTTCAAGAACCACCACACACAGACGTATGAAAGACATGGGTTTCTGCTGTCGCATTCCTTGTGTCAAGCCACTCTTGAACCACAGACAGCGTCAGAAGCGTCTTGCCTGGGCTAAAGAGAAACAGGACTGGACTGCTGGTGAGTGGTCCAAAGTCATGTTCTCTGATGAAAGTAAATTTTGCATTTCCTTTGGAAATCAAGGTCCCAGAGTCTGGAGGAAAAGAAGAGAGGCACTTCATCCACGTTGCTTGAAGTCCAGTGTAAAGTTTCCACAGTCAGTGATGGTTTGGGGTGCCATGTCATCTGCTGGTGTTGGTCCATTGTGTTTTCTGAGGTCCAGGGTCAACGCAGCCACATACCAGGAAGTTTTAGAGCACTTCATGCTTCCTGCAGCTGACCAACTTTTTGGAGATGCAGATTTCATTTTCCAACAGGACTTGGCACCTGCACACAGTGCCAAAGCTACCAGTACCTGGTTGAAGGACCATGGTATCCCTGTTCTTAATTGGCCAGCAAACTCTCCTGACCTTAACCCCATAGAAAATCTATGGGGTATTGTGAAGAAGAAGATGCAATACACCAGACCCAACAGTTCAGAAGAGCTAAAAGCCACTATTAGAGCAACCTGGGCTATCATAACACCTGAGCAGTGCCACAGACTGATCGACTCCATGCCACGCCGCATTGCTGCAGTAATACAGGCCAAAGGATGCCCAACTAAATACTGAGTGCTGTACATGCTCATACTTTTCATGTTCATACTTTTCAGTTGGCCAACATTTCTATAAATCCTTTGTTTTTATTGGTCTTCAGTAATATTCTAATTTTCTGATATGATGAATTTGAGATTTTCATTTGTTGTCATTTGTAATCATCAAAATTAAACAAAATAAACATCTGAAATATATGAGTTTGTATGTAATGTATGAATATAATATACAAGTTTCACTTTTTAAATGGAATTACTGAAATCAATCTACTTTTTCATGATATTCTAATTTTATGACCAGCACCTGTAAATTTGCCTTGCCTTTAGCTAACCAATGAGTGTTTGTGTTATATGACTCATCAATTAAACTAGTTTTCACATGACGTGAAATAAATATTTATAAACATTAAACCGAAGCCAAGAGTAACGAGAAACGTTTTAAAAACGTATAGAAAGTACAGATACTTGTGTGAAAATGTAATGAGAAGTCAAAAATAGGAAGAAAAATAAGTAATGGAGATAAGTATAGATACCTAAAAAGTGTACTTAAGTACAGTAACAAAGTATTTGTACTTCGTTACTTGACACCTCTGGATACAGCCTACTCTCCTGCTATTGTTCACAAAATGCAAGGTAGGTTAAACAACAGCCACATTTAATTAATGGAAAGGTTTTAACCATTTCTGGACTTTGGAGTTTACACTTTAGACAGAATTAAGAAGTAACGTTGGAGTAATGTGTTTAAAACAAAAGAATAGTTTTATTTAATATACCAGATTAACACAAGGATTATTTATTGAATCACTGACTGGATGTTTGCAACCTGCTTTCTAAACAACTGGCTTAAACAGCTAATTACACACAGCTACATGTGCCTTACATTCGTATTCATTCTGGATGTATTTTAGGTTACAAACACAACCTTTAGTGCATGATAATGGAATGCCATAAAACAAAAAAACGTGGTGCAAAATTATGAAGTGGAAGGAGAATCAGTTTATTTCTGTTTATATATACAAATAAAATCTGAAAACTCAAGCCATTTCTGAGATGAAAATGCACACTATTAGATTGTGAAGGTATTTGGTTGCAAGGAGGTTTATTCGAATTTCAGACATTTATCTGTAAAAATTATGAAAAGGGTTAATATTTTCCCACCGCATCAAGATGATTTACCCTTTTTTTTTGGATAGAATCACAATAAAATACCCTGGAGTTTATAGATGAAAGGTGACATGATATGAACACGTTTGCGAGGCACTGAATGTACTCTTATGATGTTTGCTTATTATAGGGCATTTAGTTAAATATTGGTTCACAGACCTGAATAAGCAAATCTTTTTGAGACATTATGATTATTATAGGGCACAGCTAATTCAACATCACCTACACCAGATATCAGTCTTTTTTATAAGTGAAATAAATCAATATTTGAGCTCACTCATTCCAAAACAGTTAATTTAAAGATATACCATCCTCAGAGAAAATTACCCAAAGAAACATTAAATTCATTCATCATATCAGGCTCCTCCAAGATTAGGTACATAAAGGAGCAAAAACTGAGCAGAATTTAATTAACAATAGCACATATAGCTGTCTAAGATTGCCGATGTTAGTGTCACAGAATCAACAGTGGAAAATTACAGAAGTACAGGCCATTTGCAACAGCAAAAAAACGGTTGAGGAAGTTTCTTCATAACCAAGCATCACATTGGTTTTGTGTTACCATCATTTAGCAAAGTTCGGACATCAAGTCTAATGAGGTCTTAACTGCAAAAGACCTGAAGGCCACAGCAGCGCCTGTTCAGATCAAGCTCTGCGTCTCTTCACAGTCTCTTTTTGATGAGCTTCTCCAGTTTGCGGATGCGAGATGACTCTTGCTCAGGGGTGGGGGCACTGAAGGACAAAGATGGGCCGCTGTCAGCTCCAGAGGGTGGAGTGGGTAACCTCTGCCTGAAGAGCTCCAGCATGCTGCTTTGTTCACTGCGCTTCAGACCCTGTGCATCCACACAAGCAGGCACCAAAAAAATACAGTGAAAATAAAATATAATGGAGCACACTTGAGATAGTGAAACACAATATCAATTTGATTTGATTTCCTAGGTAACTTTGAATGTATCAAGGTATACCTTTGTTTTGTGACCCCTAAAATCTTTCCATTATACTGTCTGCACAGTTTGAAGTTATTTTCATAAGATGCCAGAAAGCTGTATGGGGCTCAGTGTGACTGTTTTAAAAATACATCTGGCAAAGTGTCATGTATGTTATGCAGCCCACTGCAGGCAGTACCAGAGCAGACTGCCAAACTATAGCCCCTTCTTCACCGACTTGTTTCGGGGCAGCTTTGCTCGCTTTTTAGGCTTTTCCATAAAGAATGGCTATCTGGAACAGCTACTATATTTAGCACTTGCTTGCTTACAGCTCCAACAAAGTTGAGCTGAAAACGTGATCTCAGAAGACTGTGGATCACTGATTGACTACAGGGGCAGCATCACTAGTCCCAGATTATTTTAATACCTCGAACCGTTAAACCTTTAGCACAAGGCTTATTGTGAATATGAGGACTAGGTAGAGTTAGCATCCTGTAAGGCTAGCTTACTGTCACATCTGGCTGATATTCTTCTTTTTTAAACTCTAAAGCAGGCTTTGTCAGTTCCAGCCACATTTAAATGGTGTCCTGCAGCGTTTAGATGTGTCTCTGCTTCCATACCAGAATCATAAATTACCTCCTCAGCATGCAGTCAGGTTTTCCAGAGTCCTGCTAATGACCTGATTATTTGACTCAGGTGTGTTGATGCAGAGACATCTCAAAGGTGCAGGACATCGTCAAGCCTGTTCTATAACGTCCCTCTCTGTCCTGTACCTATCCAGGATGCCTCTTCTAGCTGCTCACAGGCGTCTGTGGTTCTCCTGTTTCACTCTGATTCCAGCTACAGCAGGTCTCCCCTTGTTGTCGTGTTTGTGCCGCTACACTGCACATTACTTTTTGACTATGGGGCGGGATATTTAATAGGGCGATGCCACCCACATCGAGATGATTCTCAATTGTAATGGAAAATCACAAAAACGTGTCGAGCTGACCCAGTGTACCTAAATCTATTTAGCCTACCTAGTGTGGGTGCTAATGCAAAAAGAACACGACTAGAACTTTCCTTTCAGTTTATCCTACTTTTTTTTAAAGCCCTGCCTAAGAAGTGCAATTTTAAGAATGGTACAGAACTTTAACAAGCCATGATGTGCTAGCTCAGTATGAAGACATTTTCATATTAACGCCTGGAACAATGAAGGATGGTGTGGTTACACATCTTGTTGCCACAGCAGCATTGTGACAGAAATTTCTAACAGATATTTCAGTTCAACAGTAAATTGACAGTTTGGGTTTTTAATGTGGTCTTCATTTAGTGGGAGTGGGATTTTAACCTTACATAAAAAAATAATTATAATAATTTTTTTGCATAAAAATATAATTTTATAGGGCTTGGGCGTCATGACGTAATTACTTTGCGTGGCCGCCATGTTGATGGCCTCCTTTACCGCTGCTCAGACTACTGCCTACGACTACTGCGTACTGTACTCTCTCTTAGCCGCGTTTTAATTTGATTAATTTCACCTTAACTTGATTTCAACCATGGTAAACCGTTGCTGTATTGTGGGCTGTACCAGCGCAACACATGATCGCCATGGGAAAAACATAGAAAATGGGTTAACTTTCCACCGCTTTCCTGCCTGGAGGCGCAACCATGAAGACCAAGTGTCAGAGATAAAGAGTCGTCGGCTAGCTTGGATCGCGGCTGTAAGACGGCCGAACATAACTTTCCACAGTATCCCGATGTCAATGAGAGTGTGTTCCCTACATTTTCATTCTGGTAAGTTAATGATGCACGGTTTAATTTTACGGCCTACAGTGTTTCTTTCCTTCATGGTTTTACGGAAAAATAATAAAAACGGCAGCGGGAAAAGGCTCAAATACGTGAGAAACCCAGAGGGTTTAGGGAGGGTTGGCAGTTAACATTACTAACTACACCTTTGAAACACATAGAAGCTACGTAGTTAAAAGTACATTAAAGTACAAAAAAAGTACATTAAAGTACATTACTAACGGTTAGCAATTACTAAACTAGCAGGTTCCAGAGCCCGTCTAAGCACAGCATACCTTTGTACGGATTACTGTGTCCGCACTGTTTGCTGGCTTTATGATCTGCAGCTCCTGAACCCATCCATTCATGAACTGCACATGAGACTACAAGGACTTGTAGCTTCGGAACTGTTTTAAAGTATAGGCGCTCACTCATCGGGGCTTCACTCATTGTTTGGAACTTCATATGGATCCAAATTATTAATAATGCTGATTTTGTCAACATACCGGTCCCTGGCTTCTCTATTTAATGTGTCCGGGTAAATTCCAGATCCTTTTTGGGATTTAATATCTTTTTTCTCTCTACTTCTACGTCTCTTCGTTCAACAACAACGCTGTATCAGTGCTATGTTTAAGTTCGCGTAGCCATCAACATGGCCGCCACATCCCACAATGCAACGCGGATCCCAAGCCCTATTGTTCTGTCTTAATCGTACAAAATGCCTACATTTACTTTTACATCTATAATAAACAAAATGCAGAAAAAAATACATGTTCTACGGGGAAATACAGACTACAAACTGAATTAACAAACCCTCCCTTTTACAGGAAGCAACCCTTAAAATGATCATTTTTACACTATTTATTTAAATCATCCAACTTGCCTTCATGTCCAAAATCTTCTGGAAGGTCTCTGGGTTCCCATCAGCCAGAAGTTTGATGTAGTTGTCAACAAACACCACTGGTGCTTCATGTGGGGCCATCACCACCTGTGGAAATGAGAAGAGTTTATTGAGGTTTTTTGGCTCAGAACCTTCTGCTACCTTCCAATGAGCCATCACTGGACAACCCTAGAGGTCTATGAGTGATACCAGATGGTACTGCAATCGTTGGGTTTCTACACCTAAATGGAACACATCAAAAAGTAGAAACCTCAAAGTAAAGTTAGAATTCAGGTTTTACTTAAAGCCTACTTCGTACTGCTGACGTTTTTTGTGTTTGAAAACAAGTCACATCACATATTGATGAATCAGATTAACTTTACTGGAAGTCATAGCAATGTGTTTAAAAATGTATGAGTTATAAACTGCTGAAAAATAAAATGATCTTAAAAGTAGGAAATCAGTATTGAACAACATTTTTTTGAGAATAACTGAAATGACTGACAGCATGAACGAAAAGCTTCCCTCAGTCTTCAACTCCAACACAACGTTTTTAGGTTTTACATTTCCTTTACACAGAATAAAACGCATGAGCGGCACACGGTGCGAGTGTAGAGGAATCAAAGCAGTACTGGAGGGAAGAAGAGTCAGGAGAGCCTCAGGATTCCCTGGAATTCTCTGTTTTCTTATGGGACCTACTGACTGAGTGATTTACTCTGCAACTGTACTGGAGCCAGGCCAAGAGAAAGGCGGCTGGGGACCTTAGAAAAAAAGAAAATGTAAGAGTTAAGACTGAAAAGAGGACCTTAAACGTCAGAGCAAGCAATGAAGGAATTCAGCCTGGACAGGGGTGGGGATGGGGCTGCCTTTGAAATGCTCCCCAGAAGAAAACTTCAGAAGGAGAGAAGAAAGCTGCAGCTATGGTGGGCTGGGCTGAGGAGTGTGGAAAACCGCCACGTCTCACAGGCATTGTGCAGGCCAGGAGAGGCCATCTCAGACACACAGAGAAAGTCTTATGTTCTTTGAACATAACTGAGCTGTGGCTCAAAACACATTTGGAGCAGATTCATCTTTTTTCATTCGAAGCACAAAATCTGACAGCTACTATGAGAAGCCAGGCTCTTTAATTGACTTGCTGTAGTGCTTTGTTTTTATGTTATTTTAAATTCTGAAAGCTTTACATTTTATATTGCTATTTGCATATCTTTGCAATGCTATTATTTTACCACAACTTTGTATTGTTCCTCCTCTCTTTGATGTTTTTTGCTTCTCTGTGGCCAGCTTTCATCTTTCTAGAGTCCTCTTGTTCGGTGGCATTTTGAGTGACATTTTCCAGGTGAGGATTCAAAGCTCCCTTGATCCCTGGTGCTGCTGTAAATGTGTCTCTTAAGCCCTTTCACAAATCTTTCCATAATCTAACAATGATAAACCCACACAAAACCATCACCCCACTTACACAATCCCCCCAGTTCTCGCTGTAGCATTTTTCAGGACATTATTCTTCTTTTAATATTGTCTAACATTGTTAAGCTATTCTGTTTTCTTTTTCTGTGATTGGGATTCCTGTCCTGTTAATAGCAAATGTTCCACCAAGGTTTAGATGATGGGACAGATGTTCACACATTAGACTCTAGAATGCTTTAGTATACAATGAGGATGAGTCAATGAGTCCCAGATGCCCAGTCCCAGTAGCTACACCTCATCCCTGATCATCAGTTCTCCACCATCATGCATACTAACTGGTGTGAGGTGTATAGTACATGACAATATTCTGTGTTTGGTGTTCTTCAAACAAGCCACTGAATATTCTAGCCAGGTTTGTTTGTTTGTTTGCTTTGTTTCCATCTGTTCTAAGGACGTTGTCCAAAAATTGTTCAATAGACAGATGTCTATGACTGATTTGGGCAATTAAAACAATGTGGTCTGCTGACAGCAGCCAGCATTCTCACCAAATGTATTTAACTGTTAAATCGAAATTAAGAAAATCTGCTTTCTCTGATCTCTGCCTTTAGGTTCAAGCTGGGATCCATGTAAGGTAAAGATGATAGCATTCTATCCGGTATGAAAGATCAAGACTCGACAAATCATTGAAAGCTTAACATTACTTCAACAGCACACAAACTGGTCCTTTTGGATATAGTATTTAAAACATACCATCATTTCTCTAATACACTGCCTCTCTGATGTACACTAATAAGCTACAGCCAATTGAGATTCATTTATGCAAAGTTGCTCTGTTCAGTATTTTTTAAAAGATTATGGCCAGGCTTTAGCTTTACAAAGAAGTCATAGATGATTAACCTTTTTTACTGTAGAGTTGTGATAATATGCATGATGCAAACAGAGGCCTGTAGAGTCAGAGATGGAGCTCTTGGGGTTTTTGTTTGTTTTCTTTTTTGTTGCAATTTCAGAGTCTGATCTGATCTTGTAGTGAGTCCTCTAAAATGTTTACTACAGGCAGAAAATTGTACCATCAGAAACTGAATCTGAATTGCCCGGACTGAATCTCTATTCATGGAATATGAAATGCAATGGTTTGAAAATGAATTTCACTAAACTGAAACTGAATTTAACGGAATTCATTTGCTTTAAAAATGTATTATATTTTACTGAAAATTCAATAATTCTATTTTTACTTTCAGTTATATCATTTTAATTTCAGCTTGAAAATGTGGCTTCTTTGCATAAACATAACCAGGTCCTTAAGCCACGGTGCAATGAAACACTGACTTTTGACATTGGTTTGAACTTGCCTCATTTTGAGCTTTAACAGTGGAGCATACATGAGTTTGGTGACACCTACCAAGCTCATTTAGGCTGCAGCTAAAAAACAAAACAAAAAGTAAATTAATCTTGATGTGTTAACCTGTGGCTTTTGGACCCAGTTGTCTGACACTAAGAAACGAAATTATCAAACTCAAGGACAGAAATAGACTAACTGAATTTTTTTTATGCAACAAAATACATTTACGGAGCACATGAATTCTGTTTCAAACCATTTAAAGCAGTTTAATGAAAATGATTTCCAAACTAATGCATTTAACTTTAGGTTACATAAATAAAGATCCAGTCAGGGCTATTCAGATTCGAATGGCAAAAGCTTCTGCAATAGTCTTCTCCTGGGAAGGTTGTCAGTTTTCCTACGCGTTTTCGGTCGGCCCTTAAAATGGACTTTAAATAATGTGGAAATATGAAGCTATTGTTCAACCTTCCCAAGTTAAACAATAGCTTCTCTAAGGTCATTGCTGATGTCTTTCCTTCTTCCGATTGAGTTTAACAAACCAGTTTGCTCTAAATGTGGAACACCCCTTTATTTATAGAGGCACTGATGCTTGCTGAATATCAAAATATGAATTGCATATGATTTATATTGGTGTACTTAGTTGTTTTCAATGTCACTTATGACAAACATTTTTTTCCTATAATTTTGTTTGTAATTGATGGAGCTTAAGCACCCTTACTGCAAAGCAGTGATGCATGTAAACAAAGCATTGGAACTAGAAAAGCAGACAGTTCAGAGTATTTAGTAACCGGTAACATGAATATTTCCCAAATGAAAACAGATTACATTTATGCAACAGGGAATAAATGCAATTGTGTAGAAAAGCTGATTTGAATATCATTTATGGAGGATCAAAACTTTTGTTAATATAATTTACCTCCTTGGATTATTTACATAAGCTCTTTGGGGTATAAAGCAAAACTTAAAACAATACTGCTTTAGTATAAACCTCTGGCTGCTCTTTAATGAAATAAACATGGAGCTGGAAACCATTAGCAGACAACCAATAAACACTTTAGATGCTCTGAAAACAGACTTTTTCTGTAACGGTAACCTAGATTCAGAGTAAGGACACTGCACCCTGGACTGGAATGTGAAACTGAGTGAAAGCAGAGGGATTCCAGTGTTGACCCTTCAATAGATTTATCATTGAGAAGTCTGACTCAAGGTGGAAGGAGTTACCTGAGAGGAGACTCAATGTTACATGCTGGCCAGAAGCTTTTCTTTACTCTCGTTATTTGGGTTTAAAACAATGCAAAAAGGTCATCTGTCTATTTTGTCTCATCTTCGATGTTATGCTGATAGTTCATGACTTGTTTTCTTCACAGTATACATGCCGCAATTTCTGCTCTTTTCAGTCATTTAGCTTGTTTTTATATAAATATCTGTCATTGCTAAAACCTCCTATAGACTATCTGGCACTAACGTTTTCCTCCTTATATAATTTCATAATGTCAAGCCTTTACAATGAGTTGCTCTACTCTGCTTTCACAGTAATGCACTTTATTCAATCAAAGGCCTGTATGCAGCCTTATCTTCTGAAACTGGGTAGATCCACTCTGGATAAATTGTGCCTTCAAGCTATCAGACAAAACCTGGAGTGGGCTGATGTGAATAAATTTATACAACCCTGGAAAAAGGAAAATGTTTTAAATATGTCTAAGGTGGGATAAGTGGAAATCAATGGATATACGTTTAGGCAATACCTTCAGAGGACTGTGTCAAGGATTAAAGAGACAACAGAGAACAGACTGAGACACAAAATCAAATATCAAATGGTGACAGAAGTGCTTGTCAAACTGTCACTGTCTGAGGCGAAGCAAGTGTGCCAGAAGGTCTTTGTCTAAGATAAGCTCACTGATCTACTGGTTTCACTGTAAAAACAAGGCTTAGACAGCACAATCAGAGCAGATCAGACTCGGTCCTGTAAACACAAAGAAAGACCAACATGAGGAAGGAAAGAAGGCCTCCTGGGAGTGCTGTACAAATCAAAGGAGCATGCATTTCTCTACACTCCTGAGACTGTTAATTAGGGTGTGGTTTGTCCGTGGCTGCTGCATACCAGTGTCCTCTTGAGTCTCCTAAGGTTATTTTAAAGGAAGGTGAAACGTCTGAATCCTGTGATTGCCTGCGTCTTCGTTGGAAACATCATCCAATTTGCAACATGGCACATTGCATGTGTGGGAGGGGGGGTGATGTCAAAATTAGACACACACACAAACCTTTCTAAAGGCTCAACCACATGCTGGTTTTAAAGATATCTGCCTCCTCTTGGCCCGTTACTCATTCATTAAACCAGAAGAGCTCCAGCCCTGCTCTCTACTCGCCTCATGTGAGATGAGCTATTTTGTGGAAACATGCTCATAAAGTGCTATTGTGAGAGGGGTTAAAGACACAATTAAAGACCAATTCTGCCAAAAATAAACTAACAGCGGATAATCTGCTCAAGTGACTAACTCGAGGCAAACATTTAAAGCTGGCTCAGTGGTCCGACCACAAATACTGAAGGGGAGACTGTTTGTTTGGCCTGTTGTTGCTTCTCATGATTGGACCTTGAATCCATGGAAAAGCAGCCACATTTCTGGTTAGGTGTTTACTAGAGTCATCATGAGCACGAATGTGACTTCTTTTGGGATGTTAGTGATTTCTTTCCTGGTCAAATAAAGATTAAATGAATAATTATTTGAGACAATTTATGTTTCAGGATGAAACCTTCATACAAAAAATATAAAAAGAAAAAAGTGTTTTATGGATCAGACAAGACAACAGTTTGGAGAAGGTCACACTCACAAGTCTGAGATGAGTACAGTAACTGTCCAGTTATGTAGTAGGCTGCAATATGGTGGGAGGCTGTTTTAATGGACTTCATAACAAAGATGGAGGGATGAGAAGGGAAAAATCCAGCAATCATCAGAACGTGTTACAATAAAGTTCAGGAATGGCCTTGAACTCTATCTTACCGATGTCTAAACAAATGCATGTTTTTTTGTGGAGCCTGCAAACTGATGCTTATCCAAAATTCAGAGGAGCATTTTTTTAACATGTGAGCCCATGCAAAATATTGTGTGTAAATTAATATAATTTAGCTCATTTTGAGTTTTAACATTGACATACTTTCTTTACTCTTGGATTTTGTGACGAAAACTATAAAAGGTGGATGTAAACTTCTGCCCAGAAACTGATTAGACTTCGCTCTGCCAGTCTGCTTTTAGTCAGACGTCTAACCCTGTTTAAATGTATGTGACGGCACTTCACCGTCAACTCTGCTAAACGGCAAACCGGGGATAAAGACCAAACAATTCGGATCGCACACATAGGCCATAAGAGGAGGCTTTAAAGGGCATCAATTGAAAGGTCTGCCAGTAAAAAAAACGACCATTGCCGACTGAGCTGCTCGAGTTAAATGTTATGTGAAATGTGAAGGGTCCTAAAAGGACAGCAAATCACTGATGCTGTGTTTAAGTTGGACAGTCATGTATTTAGAGTCAAACTCAGGGTCACTTAAAAGCCCATTAGTTAAACAGATCCTGAGGGATCCTTAGTTTATCTCGGAAAGCTATAGTGTTTAATCTACATGGCCTTAAGGGGTGAGGCTGACTTTTTCCAAAATACTTTAAATGGAACTTGGACTCCTTTCTTATTTCCCCCTATGACTAAAATCCACAAAATAACACGTCTGAACAGAGCTGAAGCAGAGGGATAGTAAATGATCCTCCATGCCTAACCTCCTCACCTTTAATATCATCTCTGCTCGCGTCATGCCTTTCACAACAATCTTAGTGTAACTGGCAGGCGCCTTTCGGAGCACCTGGGAGCCTATGGACGGAAGATCCAACAAAACGGTCTTCAGGGAGTGTGTATCTAGAAGAAGCTGTTGGAGAAAAGGAGCAGAGAGTCTTACAATGTCAAAAAGCAAAGTGCTGGCCAACACAAAAGATTTCAAATAATCCTGGTGCAGATTATGCTCACCTGTTCAGCTCCCACCATGCTGATAGGCTTACATCTAAACAGGTGGTTAATAAATTTAGGGATGAAAGAGCTGAAGAAAAGAAAGAAGAGACAAACATTGAGCAAACCTTATTTCTTTGCTTACGACGAGAAAACAAAAGCCAGACTGTTTGTAATACTTTGTAAATTTGATGCAAAATTGTGTGAAGTATTTTCGAGTTGAGGCAAGGTTGTCTCTGATGATGGGCACATTCTGCTTAATGTGCATAATGATTGACGTGACATACGGACTCTGGTCACCAACGTGCTCCACACTCTGCCATGGCATCTGAAGGTCAGGATGAGAGAGAGAAAGAGAGAAAGAAAGGACGGGAGCTTGAGATCAGATCTGGTTGCAAACACATCTAATTAAGCAGCTAACATTATCTGACAATCTCTTTAATCTAATTACATGTAAAACAATGACAGAATTATAATGTCCTTCTGGGTGGGAGCAAGAAGTTCAACAAAACCACCAAGAATGCATTGTTGGGACATCTATTAACATTACAGGCAAAAATATGTTTATTTGTATTTCAATGAATAGCAGCTGTGTTTGATTTAATGCAATTAAATGAGCCGAATATTTAACAGTGTTTTTTTTTTTTTATTAACCTTGCTCATAGCACTTAGAGCGGGATCACAGGCTGCATCCAGATCTTGGACCAGCAGCTGGATACTGTTGGAGATCACACTATTAAAAAGAAACATAAAATAGGAGACCATTAAAATGTGCTTGTTGCAGAAAAGACGGGTATGTTTAGCTTATTAAGTGCTAAATGCTTACGTGCTGAATGTGTCCATCTCCCCGGTCAGATTTATCCTCTCCATCAGCACCTTGTCAACTTTCTCCTTAAGCTTCTCTTCCAGCTGAAACATATCAACAAGAAATTTAATGCGCAAATAAAAAAAGCTTCGTCTGTGAGAGCGCATCTGTAAAAACATTTTACTACAGATGCTGAAAACCGGTTGGGTAGAGCGGTAAACAGAACTTTACATAAAATCAATTTCTTCTGTATTTGCAAACAACAAAATAAAAAAATAAAATAAAAAATTTAATATGGACATGCCTGTTGTGTGGTGGCCAGACAGTATTCTGCTGTACTAAGGATGCTGCAGATCAGGCATAGCTCATCTACAGTGAACTTCGCTGCCTCGTAACCTTCCTTTTCCTTCAGCAGGCTGGTGATGGTGAGCCCTCCGCTGTTACTGCTGGATCTGGACACATTGAAGAAGGTAGCAAAACGAGAAGAAAAAAAAGAAAGATTCAGGATTTGGAAAATCTTGAAGAATCTTTTTGAAAGGTTCTTTAGTTTACAGCCCCCTGTCTGAACTATAGAAAGATTAATTAGAAAATGTTAGTAACCTGCAGCACCATGTAAAAAAATTCACTTGAAATCTGGCCCTAAGAGGCTAAGGATATATTGGACCTTAAAGCTAGAATTAAAATCTAATGGTTTTACCAGGTTAACTATGAACTCTGACAGAGGTTCTCTTTAGGTCGCAGTTTTCACGATAAAGCTCAACCTGTCAGTGAATCCCTTCACCGAGCATTTTTTTTTTTTTTAAACTTACTTTGCGGAGGTTCTGTGTCCTAATTTGACAACCTGAGATTTTAAGTGATTCTCTATACTCTATTAATGAGGTGTGGTCAGGTGAATATCACGTAACAGGGCCCTTTGTTATTTTGTCCCAATCAGAGGTAATTTCATCATACCTATTTGCCAAAATTGGACTTAGAACTGAAGTGAAATAAACTAAATTGTGCAACTCTTTGATTACGCATCTCCACGAACCATTATTTACTGAGGAGACAAAGAAATAAATCAATTTGGAGCTGGTAAGTATAGAAGAGAAGTGAGGTGGGAGAAATGCTAACACATTAGAAAGAAATAGGGGTTGAAATGACCCAGAGTGTTTAAAGCTGACAAGTGTGTTTGCTGAACTCAAATAAGCTTCTTATTTGGCCTTGAATAGGATTGTTATTTAACATGTATCATCCCTACATGGACTCAGTATCAGCCATAAATCCAGTACCTCTGTTAGTATTAGAAGGAGGTCAGACTGACACCTTTACGGATTATGACAGCTCAAACTGTGAGAACCACTTAAATAAGCTTCACTATTATGCTCTCTATCGATTACACAAACAGTCAGGTTTAAGGGAAACTGATGACAAAACTGGCTTCCTTTATGACCAGGGAGGTAAAAGATAAGTTAAACTGGGATATTTTGCAAAACTATTTGCAAAATAAGTGTAAAATTAAAAAGCGGCATTTTCTTTAACAGCTTAACTCACTTCTAGTTAATAATTATTGTACTAGGGGTTGGATTTACATTTGAATAAAAGTCGTCTTTTACAGACATGATCAAAAAAATAACTGTCAACTTCTACATGATATATGAACATTTTCAGCAACTTTTTTCTGATAATTTAATTTTTATCAGATATGCAACTTTGAGTTAGATAAGCTAGCTGATTATTTTATTTTAATCAAAGATACATTTTATAAATAATTTTAATCAAAGATCAGATGTGATCAAAAGGGAGTCTAATTATTCTCTGAGTGAAGGCAGCAGAATATCTAACTTTAACCTTTAGAGAAATGAAAGGGAGGGTAAAGTTTAGAAAAGCAATAGTTATTTAAAACCTATTAGCTTATATTTATGTTCTGGACCACACTGAAGAGCAAATTCCACACTTTTTAGTTTGCAGGAATGCTAATATATTGAATCAGCAAAATATTTTTTTCTGCATGATTTCAAAATAAAAACAACTCATTTAGTAAACTGACTCAGTGGTCTATTTTTTTCTACCACTTGCGTTTAGTTGTAATTGCACTGCTAGTCTCATATAAAAGGATCATTTAATATTTTGTATATTATCATAAGAAAGATAATTCTGTAGCATTTAATATTTGTATTTTTTTCTTTTTCCTATCTAATCCTATGCTTTGCCCTCAAGTTTTAATCAAATCTCTACAAGGAAATAAATACATTTCAAACTACAGGTAAAAATGACATTTTAATAACTGAGCCACAATGGATATAATTATAAACAGATGTAAAAATGGGGTCCAAAGAGGGCACACTGGCGACACAATATTACTAAACGTCATACACAGACATGGGGGTAAAACCACAACATAGTTCAAGCTCTTTTGAGGGCCCCTTTCAAAACCTCACAAAACTAATTCACAGCACACCCCACTTGATGGGTGTCTGCAAGTGTGTGGATTTCTAAAGAGTCTAAGTGCATCCAGGACAGTATTTGTATACGGCTAAGAATATGGCACGCATTAGCGGCAAACACAGTGGTGTAAATAGCATGCACAATTATCTCAGAATGCATCTGTATGTGTGTGTGTGTGTGTGCTTGTGTGTGCACACACCACAGCCTGGGATGATTTCTGATGTGGCTGATGAGCAAGAGATGTTTTCGCTGGTAGCACATTAGGCTTTGCCACAACATAACCAATTCCAGTTCGCTCATGGCATGCCATCCTAATCCATCAAACACAGAACATGTCGGTTTCATATATAACTGCAAACCAGGCCTGCAATTTACCAAAATGAATGAACAAACACGGGTGTGGCAGCCTCAAACAAATGAGTTTGTTACCATCTAGAAAATTGTTGTGATTCCCAAAGCTGGGTTTGTTTACTGTTTTTAGATATGCTCTTTACCAACATTAAAGTTTAGTGAAGCATCAAAATGATCATTAGCCTTACTGCTGATTGTTTATAGCCACTGTTGTGAATTGAAATAGAAAAAGCAAGGAAAACAAAGCCTGAACAGGGCAAAAAAAAAAAGCCACCACGGCTGTGAGACATCCTAATTGATTGATGGGCATTATACTTATACAGCAATCTGAAAAAAAAATCCAAGAAACCGTCAGAGGAGGAAGCATGTTATTAATCAAAATCAAGACAGCTTAACTTCTTACTCTGATGGTCTAACTGGGATTAAACTCAATATTCCTACTTGAAATTCTAGTCTTAAATTTCTAAATTATACTAACAGCAGTTGACTTTTTTGCATTATAAGCTGATTGCATTATAAGCTGATTCTAGCTTGATGATTTTTTTTGTGTTAAAAATAGAAAACAATTTGAAGAGTAAATTCCAATACGCAGTGGTAGGTGTATAATTGTGAGGTGGTAAGAAGATACAACAGTTTTTTACTACTGCACTTGATAATTATTTTGTTAATTAATTTTTTGATCAATATATCAAGATTAGATTAAGGTGAAGATAAAACTAATCTGCGTATCGAGTTCTGGATAAAGTATTTTGATAGACATCAAAATCTTCAATCCAAAATGTTTATATATATATTTTTTTTTTACATTTTTGGTATAATTGCTGCTCTATTTGGGGTTGCTCTTATAATTAATTGCATGTTTTAGAGTCTCTATGCTCCAGGTAACAATAGATTATTTATAGATTACTTAATTTGTGCCATTTAAATAACAGATTAATCTGATTTTTTTTAGCCCTACAGTTTTTAAAATGTTTAAATGTGTTTTTTATTTTGTTTAGCAACCAAAGTTAGCCATTCGTATAACCAATTATTTCAGGGATCAAAGACTATAAGCTTAACAGAACTAGAGACTGAAAATACTGCAGATTCATCTTTGTCAGAAGGCTGCAGCTTGACCAAAATTGTTTGGAGAGCATTTCTGAACACCAGTTTCAAACTCACTTAGAGATCATTTTCAATCTGAGCTATTATTCTGGACTTTAACTGATCCATTCTAATACAAGAATATTCCCTGGCCTAAATTTTCTTTATATATTTGGCTGTGTGAACATTTAGGGATTTTCTTTCAGCTGCTCCCTGTAGCAAGTTATTACAACTTGTCTAAAACAATCTAAGACACAGACCTGGACTGCTACACCACAGGGGGACTGTTGTTGCATTTAGGAATTCTGGATTTGAAGGAACCCTTCTGTGTTCATTAATCACATAACATCCCAATGGTACCCAATGAAAATTGCTGTAGCAATGTGACAAAATGGGAAAAAGCTCAAAAGGTCTGGATACTTTTTTAAAGACTTCGGTTTGTAGATTGGAGGAAATAAAATCTTTGACTGAATCTGTAACTTAAGTTTTGTTCTGACAATTCATTTTCAAACAAGAGGGTTTACCGCGACTCCTTACTTCTATCTGCCAATATTGCTGAGTAATCTATTACATAGCAGAGCTTTTTAATTAAGCATATGTTGAAGGGAGCAGCCCCTCATGACCCCGCTTGGGATAAGCGTGTCAGAAAATGGATGAATGGATGAAGAGAGCAGAGGGATGTTTGCTGATAAAAACACTCAGTGTCCGAATGGAACACAACTACTGCTTCCTTTGCCTCAAACTTTGAGCATATTGAAGAAAAATGCAGATTTGGTTGAATGATGAAGCATTAAAATATTGTTTTAATACGAAACCTCGCCCGCCTACATTTTACCTTGCCTTTCCAAATTTAATTTGGAGTTTAACACAGTTTTACACTAATAACTAAAAAAAGAGAAAGTAAAGCATTTTCATTATAATTACATAGCGTGACAAAGAATAATTAATAAACACTAGCAACATTTAGATACTCCTAGTAGGAAGTAGATTAACTGCTCTCCTGTAATCAAGCGGCCAGGGAGAATCAATCTTAATTCTTTCGCGCTTCATTATTGGAGTCTGTGTTTGTTCATTTCAGAGAATCTGAGTTAAAAGAAAAAGGTCAGAGCGCTCAAATCTCACACATATAAGGTGTGTTACCAACACTGTAGTTCAGAACCAGGAACAAATTAATACCTGTGGAGAGTGCAGAGACCTCTGATATGAGATTAAGGCTTTCTTAAAACCCAGCCAGTCCAAGCAGCTGTAGAGGGATGTATATTTTCAAAAATACATCTTCCTGTGGCTTATTTTTCAGATATGCAAGTATTTTTACCAATTCTGATATCCCTTTAAGAACCACATTTAAGAAGATACTGTGTCATGAAAAAATATACATTGGTTTTTCTGTTTTATACACTTGTTTTTCAGTTTCAAGTTATGTTGAAATATGCTTCCTTTAATACAGGAAAATAAAAACTAGTAATAATAAACCTGGCCGTATTTATTTATTTATTTTTTTGGGGTACTGTTATATTTATATTCCCTTTACTTCAATTTGCCTAATATGATTTCAAAGTCATCAATTCTTTTACATTACTCTTTTAAATACCTTAATTTAAAATTCAATTCAACTGGCTCATTACAAAATTTCCTTTACTGATTGCTGTAAGTCAGAAACATAAATATGATGGAGTAATGCTTTTTGGTCAGCGTACCCACCTGTGATGCCTCCCTATGTAGTCATTAACTACCTAAACAAACACATTTTATGTTTTAACAAGGCAAATCACCTTATCCTGATTAAAGTAAGACCTGCAAAATTGAGAGATTCCTGACATGAAGTAAGATCTAAGAAAGCATCAGACCTTAACCCGGATCTAAATCAACTTAAGAACAGAAAAACAAAAGGAATCATCCAATAAAATATATCAAACAGCAAGTGTTAGGGTTAGTCACACTAAAATAACTTCTCGTGGCTAAAAATAAAAGACAAAATTAAGGTTCTGGAGTTCCCTACTTAAATCCTATTATTGAATTCGATTAAGGTGCAGCTGCTGGACCTTAAGCAGATGTCAACATTACTGCAACCTAACAGCGTTTATGTATGTTGAACTCCAAAGACTCTGAATATCGTATGATTCTGATCATTGGGTGTCTTTTATTTTCTCAAATTAAAAAATGATCTTACTTTGGCAGGTTGCCAGAAAGGATCTTCCAAGCATATTCTCGGAGGAACTTCTGGAAAATGGTTGAAAGGGCGATCATGGGTTCGCCTGTGCTCAGTTGGGAACACTGGACCATACACTTCTTGTAGTAAACAAAGAGATCGGCACAGCTAGGCAGCACTGCCCCGCCTTCCTCGGTGCCTGCCTTGGGGGGGCCTTGTGCTCGGAAATCAGCCACAAAGCGGTCAATCAGTTCCCCAAGGTTCCTGCAGACAATATAGGTTGGTTTAAACACACTCGAGCAGCAGACTTGGGGCCATATTGAATAAAGTGAATTAAACTGTACAAAAACCATAAAGACATGATGAGTCCTGATAAATAAATAACAAGCAGAGAGACTGCAAGCCAACTGGATAAATATACAAGAAAGCACCACTTGTGCCAAATTTGCAGTGCTGCAGCTCCACAGCCAGTTGTGTCCCAGTTCGCCTGAACCAGGCAAATAAAGCCAAGGACAAACAAGCAGGCCACTGTTCTCCACAGCCATTTCCCACTGGGGACAAGCTGATTTGGCCTCTGCTTTTGGACTGAAGTGAAATGAGGTTTTAGCTGTAGCTGCCTTATTGGTCAATCCTGTTCCTTTGGACAGGAAAAACAGCATTTTATACTCCTAGGGTTTGCAATTGACTCATTAATCCCAGAACTCTTTTTGGGTGGAATTAAATACTCTTTATGTTACATAAAATATAGTCAGAATTCAGGTAGAAAAGCAGCACAGAGAAAACAGAGGTCCTGTGGTAAAGATTTGTAGAGGAGGTTGCTTAAAAAAAATTGCAGAAATAAGGGAAAAGAAACAACAAAAATCATTTAATAATTAAAGAAAATAGAACTTAAAAAAGGACTGAAGCATGAATTAGACTGTAGAGAAAGGCAACTTCAAAAAGAAAAAGAAGAGAAAGAGGTGGGAAAGAAAAAAGGCATATCTGCTGTGACAGCATTTATTCAATCTCCCTCTCTCTTTCTTTCAGTCTCTGTGGTTGTGCAGCTAATGGGAAACATTTCTGCGAGACAGAAGCATGCAGAGGAACAAGAAATGAGGAGGCAGGAGGAGGTGAAGCAGAATAACAGGGGAGGGGACTGATTGATGTGCAGTGGGTCCAAAAAGCGTTCTGGGGCCAGCTCTCTATACAACCTGCTCTTAAATCTGTTTTTTGTTCCCAAACTGCTGTTATAAGTGGCTGTTGCTCACTTGTCTTGGGATTCTATGTAGACATATAGATGAGGTTCAAAACACTTGGAGATAATGCCGTGGAATGGATTGTCAGGAGCTTTGGGCTTCCTCGGCTGAAAAAAAAAAAAAAAAAAAGCTTATGGTAAATCAAGGAAAAAATATATTTATGCAAGGTCAGTAATCTAAAGTTGCAACTTTTTTTTTTTTTTATTTAACTGACCTTAGCAAGATCTTCATCCTTTTCTGCTCCCACATCCTCCCCTGGCTCATCCTCTAAAAAAGGGTTGGTTTGGTCTAGAGGGCTCTCTGCTCTCTTCTGCTGCTATAATAAGGAAACAATACAACCTTTGCATTGATCTCTAACACAGTCTGTAAAAGTGATCTTTCATTGTAGCAAGCTTTTAAAGTTTCACTACTGTCTTATAGATCTTTTTATGTGGTGCTTGGTTATTCAATTCATTGCCACCAAATCCCCGGCTGAAACACAAAGCTTACAAGGAACAGGTCTAAAGTTTGCTTCAGACAAAAAAGGCTTGTGTGAAGCCTAAATGTCATGAGGTCAAGGCGAGGTTGGCCCACTCGGCCACAACTAATCATGTCCCTTATTATGTGCCTTCACAGCGAGCGTCACTTTCCCCTTCATGCAAAACACATGACCTGGATTATAAGGTGTAATCAAGGGTACTGGGATGGAAACACATGAAGGTTAGCAGTTCCATTCCCAAAGTTTTCATGAGAAAGAAAGGTGGCCCCTAACTGAACGAAAAGACTCCTCTCAATAAAAAACATGATTAAACAAAATTCCACTGCATGCAGTTTAATCAATTTATTTTATGATGGCTTCAGGTGTTTGGGAGAAAACATAAAGCCAGGCTTTCACTGTGCGATTTTTTGCCCTTTGCTGGACGACTTTCCAGTTGCGCAAGTATTATCCGAAATGGGCCGACTTTTAGCCTGATCATGCATCGTGGATCATCTAGTGTACAGAGGGTAAATAAGATGATCAGGAATCGTGAGGTCGGGAGAAAAATCCAACCTGTTTGATTTTCTCCCGACCTCACGATTGCCCGTCGTGGGCAAATCGCTCGGCGGGCAAACAATGATTATTCTTTTTCTTCTTCCTCTCAGATGTAAACAAAGAAGCATGGCGGGGATGCAAGTGAAATGGAATTCTTTCTGTAAAATTGACAGAGGATAGTAGCCACGTTTGCTCAGGCATGTCTTTTTAGGATTTTCAGCACAAAATTGCACAGATTGCCAAGGCAGCGCATTTCTCACTAGTGAGCTTTATATTCCTCTTCTACTTATTTGGCTTCCGGATAGAGGAGTCAGAGCAGCTCCATCTCACTGCAGAGCTGAATCCCACATTGTTTTCAGACGTACAGTGTGATCAGTTAGATTGCATCAGAGCATTGCGCTGCACTGACATCGTGAGCTGTGAACTCACACTGTGCGACAAAAGCCTGCGGTTTTGTCGTACAATGTGAGCTGCAAATGCTTGCAACGATTGAAAAAAAAAGAATAAAAAATCGCACAGTGTATGCCCAGCTTAAGTATAATGAAGAGCCAGTAACACAACTCACATGTCTGGGATATAGTTGCGGATGCGTTTAAAGCAGGATCAGTTGAAAATATGAATTTATCTGCCACACAGCAATGTTTATTCCACCATTTGGCAAAGAGAGGATTAATCAGAGGAGCAGTCAAGATTCTAATGGTGACTTTGGAGGAGGTGCAAAGACCCTTTAGACAGACAGGCAAATCTGTAGACAGGGGAACTATTTCTCCTGTACTCCATATCTGACATAATGGTAAGGAGAAACAAACAGTAGTAAGACAAACCTAACTTTTAATAACTGAACATTATTGATCTCGCATTAGAGAGATTTATCTCTGCATTTAACCCATTCCCTTGGGGTGCAGTGGGCTGCAACTGTGCGGCGCCCTGGGAGAAATGTGGGTCTTGCTCAGGGACCCAGAGTGGAGACTGTGGGGATCGAACTGGGTAATTGAAACCTTCACAGAGCACAAATGCACTGCTCTAACCACTAGGCCAACACTCCCCTCTGGCCAGATTGCATTAAATATTATCCTATACCCTGACCAGACCATCCCTACTGTGTTTATATTGTGGTGGGAGCATAATGCATTCAGCCACCGGTCAGGGTTAATGGCACAATGGATGCAACTAAATGCAGGGCAGTCGTGAAAAAAACAGATATGCAGTGGCTGGGTTAAGATTAAAGCATATCTATGTGTTAGAATACACTGGGTCTGTTATGCATACAAAGATAGAGCATTTTATTTTTTAAATTGTGTTTATCAATTTCCTTTCATTTAATTTACCAATTACTCCCTTCTTTGTATTACCGTAAATCTCAATAAAACAAATTTGGACACCTAAGGGGGTTTAGAGACAGTTTCGCTAGGGCCTGACAATTCCTACAATATTTTAAATAAACAAAAACATACCTAACTGCTAAAATATGGCCACAAATAAAATGTTTATTTTATAATTGTAAATGACTTTCTGATCTATGGGAATAGTGAGTGAAGGGTGCATTTAGATAGGAAATGTCTTGATTTAACATTCGATGTGCCCACCAATAGTTTGAAGGAGTATTTGAATTACACAGATCCATCATGCTTACGCATTGTTGTTACATCTATGTACACATTTCTTACCCCAGGTATGTCTGTCAGGGTGCATCCTGTGAAGCGTTTAGCTAGTAAACCCTCAAAGTTTGTTGTCCTCTGGATAGCAAACAGGAGAAGTTTCACCTCAATTTCCTTTGCCCGTGTTCGCATCACCTTGGCCAGCTCCACCCTTTCAAACACACAAAACAAAACTTCATGGATGGCTGTAAAAAAAAAAGTTTTTTTGCAACTTGCTCAAGAACATTTGTTGAAATATGAGTGTGGGTTTAGTATACACTACAAAAAATGGAAATCCAAGTAAGTGAAATTTTCATAAAATAAATACATTTTTTAATGAATTGAGTAGGTACTAAGACCATTAAAGTAAGAAAAAACAAATGCAGTCTCTTATTTCAAGTGCATAATATGTAATTATCTTATTTTAAGGGTGAAAATACTAATTCCATTGGCAGATCATCTTATTTACCTACTCAAATTAAGTAAGCCAAGCCAAAATCTTGTGATTTAAATCAGGAATGGCAATGAAAAAAGCAGATACTTCTGACCAACAGTGGTAAAATTTATTAAAAAAGTAAGTCTTACATAAAGTGGAGCTGATTTTTTTTTTTTTTTTTAGAAAAAACAAGTTTCCTTTGCATTTTTTCTATCTTCTAACAAAGCCTTTGATTTTAACCCATCATTGATACCAGATTGTGCTAAATACAACGTTATTTTCCACCTATCCATGTTGTTGGCTACAGATTAAAAATAGGCACACCAAAGTGGAGAAAAACGTTTTTTGAGTCTTTCTTTAGGAAGTTGTTGCATGAGGGAACAGAAAGGTCACTAAAGCTGTTGTGTTACAGCATCAGGCCTCGGGGTCCAAAGCACCAGCATGCTGTAAAAAAGTAAAAGATGGACTTTCATCACAACAATTTCGTTTCACTTGGTGAGAGCCAGAAACGGCGGCATAATGACAGGTTCTTCTGAGTGTTTTTATGGTGAAACGAGTGAGTAAAGGGGGGCTTCGGTTACAGCCAGAAGCAACACACAGAGTCCAAAGCTTCTGCGTTCTTTCAAGCAGTTGAGGGAAAAGATGGAGAAGTATCAACACTGGGCCAGTGCTTATGTGGGCCACCTACTTCAACTGTGGAAAAGCTTGTGCCATTTCCAGGAGTAGCAATGCAAAAACAGTGGAGCTCAATTCATAATACTGAGGTATGGAAATTACACATTTCTTCAGTATGTGTATGCATGATTTATCTTATTGTCTTCAGCCACTTTCTTCCCCATTTATCTGTATAAATGATCACCAGTTAGAGAAGTCACAGACTCTAATTTATAACTCCAGCTTCGTTTGATCACATTGAGACATTTTGTGTGCTTTTACTTGGTGATGTGGCAGAACTCCACAGCGATTCGCTCCGTCATGCACCATTCTTCAGGAAACATGCGACCATATTTCTCCTCATAGTCTACCAGCTGTCGTTTGATCCAAGCATAGCGCCGATCAATCTTATCCAGCCAGGCAACCTGAAAAACAGAGTAGAATAAAAAAGCTTTTTTTAATGAGCTCATAATTGTGTGTAAAAGTGTGAGTAAAATTGTATTCTTACATCTTGATTTTCCTGGAAGAGAACCAGGTACTCTGAGAGGTGCTGCCTGATGAACTTTTTGATGATCTCCTGTTTGATGCGAGGGTCGAGGACGTTTGCCACCAGACAGGCATCTCTCAGCACATTACTAGGTCCACCTGTCCTCTGTGAGTGACATCAAGGTTAGTTTATTTGTTAGAAAAGAGGAAAAATAGGGGAAAATCTAAATAAAGATTTATTTTTATACATTATTTTTACCTTGGAGCCTTGTGAAGGAAATGCTTCTTCAAAATCTGCAAGTATCTGAGTCCCCAGCTCACTCTGTGCTGCCTTCACCCTTTCAGAAACAAAACAATGAGATTGAGCTGTTAATTGTTCTCCAAAGCAGTACAGCATTTTAGAAGAGTAATAGCATATTTCTACTCAGTGCGCTTGTCAATTATTTTCACTCCCTAATTGCTGTGGCAGAGACGTTTTATGGCCAACAACCAAATGAAAGATCCTTTGGTTTAATTAATGTGCAAACATTAAGTACAAGAAATGTAAAAGTAAAATAATACAACCCCCTGTCAAGTTAATTATGAATTCGCAGCAGCCTTTCAACCAAGCCCAATAAGGGAATTATTGAAGTCATTTTCATAACCTGGAAAGAGAGATCTAGACACCTAAATGCACTACAAGTCAATTATTTGGTTGTCTACAGATGTACAAACAGACTTTTGATCAAAATGAATTACTGAATAAATCAATTAAGATGAAACAAGACAAAAAAACAAACCAGTAAAAAGTGCATGAGTCCTCTTACAAAATAATAACAAGATTAGTTTAATCGACATGTCAAACCAGGTTGATAATGTGTAGCACTCTCAGTTTAGACTTGGACTGTTTCCATTGAACCCATTTGGGAATGAAGCGACCTTCAGTGGAACTTACTAAGCATATTGGGCAAGGTGACACCTAGTGTTCGCCAAGGAAAATCTGGATTCAGGCATTCATAAAAAGGCACAAACATTTTTGCCAATGTATCTCCCGGTTCCTTGTTCAAAAAGGACAAACCAGATGTGTTAACAGCAGTTATGCGAGCATCCTCCTGCGCCTCCATGTATTTTGGTTTTGTATTTATTTTGTGGGCTGGGTACCTTTCTTTACAGCTTTGACTCCTGCCTTTAACTACAATACTGCTATGTTATTGGTCAACCTTAACAAATCTGTCCATAGAGATTAATTTCAATAAGACAGCAATGGATGCTGCTCTACAATAAAGAAAAAAAAAAAACCCTGGTTCAGGTCCAGTTTCACAGGAAAGTGTCATAGTAAAAAAAATATGTAGCACATCAAAAGGGCTTCCACTATAGGCCTTATGACCGCAAGCAGCAAAGGCAGCAGGAGCAGCTAGTTTACATGTAAAGTCAATGGTTGACGTGCATCAAAGTGCTGCAAAAGGTCCCGCAGCAGGAGCAGATCATCTGAGCAGCTACAGCAGTGCGTCATGAGCGTTTGAGCATCTGACGGGCACAACGCGCGACAGCAACTGCTGTAGTTGGAAAAATTTTACTTTTGCTGCTCGACGCGCCACATCAATCAATCAGCGAATCTGATCTGGGAGCTGGCAGGTAGACAGAAACATCGCTGCTGATGCAGAGCGCTATGATCACTCCTCTGAAACAGGCACCGATTAAGTTTTCAGGTGGACTTTCTCACTTAAAAACATATTTAAACTACTTTATACCCACATAGCATATATAGCTGCCATTGCTACAGGCAAAGAAAGGATAGGGTAGGTCCGCCCAACGCGCATCAGACCCACTTTTCTACCGCGCAGCTGAAGCAACTTTCCTGCTCCAGCTTCATGTCAGAACTAAACTTATACAAGCACCAAAAATTAATCAGCATGACCGTTTTGGCTGCTTTTGCTGCTTTAGGTTTGAACGTAGCATTATCAAGGCAACTTCCCTCCAAAGACGCGTGGCCCAACACAAAAGAGCGTTCTCCTTGGGGCAAGACTCAGCAGTACACCTACACCTTATGGACAAAGGACACTCTTTAAAGGACCAGAATGTTCACATTTAGGACAAAGAAGATAGGAGGTTTGAGAGGGGCGTGAAGGAAGCCCTCTATGTTAAGAAAGAAAAAACAGCCTTAAACAGAGGGGGTGGACTCAGATTTCAGCTTTCAAAAACCTACAATGCAGAAATTGAGTTGATTCCCTTCCGCTATCATCGCAACCCCCATATCCATAGAGGGGACCAAAACACTTCGCCAGGCCAACAATTACCTCTAACAACCGTCTTTCAGAGACATAGACAGGTATTGGGTATAACAGGCTAACAAAGAACTTAAACAACCCCCATTCCTAAGGTGCAGACCTTAAAACTAAAACACTCTAAAGTCTGAAAAACCTTTTTTTTGCTTTGGAAGAACCCCATCAGTTTAAATTTTAATATATATTTTTCAGTGTAATTAGTCACTTAGGGAGTTCAAATCTTTTCAGATCAACCCATGTTTTAGGCGGCCATGCATTGATGTTTGACACTTCCTTGTGTCTCCTTTCATCCTTCTCTACAGCAAAGCTGTAGCCATTATGAACACTATCTAACACACTTTAAAGCAGTACTAAAAATGTTCAGTTTTGGTCTATTTCTAGTCCCCTGTGTGGACAGAATCTGTATTGCTTTGCTTGAAGGAAGATCTTAGCGTTGTAAAATCCCGATCTTCCAGTCAGCTGCAGTTGGATTTAACAACATTTCTGCTTCCAATGGCTATGTGAAAGCTGAACAGTGATGATGTAATAAATCTGTGTCATATGACGACATGGAAATAAGAAACGTTTAACTTTCGTTAGTTTTGCTGCCCTCCACCCCATTTGTCAGCACATCAGTCACTGACAAATTCAGAGCCTTGAAACGGTTAAATACAATGTTATGTTTAATGATTTCACAGTAAACACACATAAAGATCCCAGCAAGAAGGTGCTGCATTCCCTGAAAATCAACCCTTCACAATTTGAAAGAATATAAATTCTGTCAGGGAAACTTATGGCATCAACTTCTGTCTTAATTACGGATGGAGAAAGGGGGAAGTCACGCATGCCGTAAAGCGGTCTGCACATTTCTTGTTGTTTTGTACTGCAGGGCTACTACCACCCTTATCAAAGTTGCTTAGTGTTGGTGAAAGCGATACAGACCCCCTCAGGCCATAACAGAGGCATCATTCAACTAGTTGTGTGAATGTGAAATGTGAAAGCCCTTTGGGAAACTCCTCCAACTCCCATTGTCATTGTGACACAGCACACACAAGTGAACACTGCACACCATGAAATTGCATTTATGCCTCACCCGTGCAAGGGGGCAGCCCTCAACGGCGCCCCAAGGGAGCAGTGTGGCGGGACGGTACCATGCTCAGGGTACCTCAGTCATGGAGGAGGATGGGGGAGAGCGCTGGTTAATTACTCCCCCCACCAACCTGCCGGGTCGGGAGTCGAACCGGTTTGGGATCCAAGTCTGACACCCTAACCGCTCACCCACGACTGCCCCCAAATACGTCGATGTATCACAAAAGCTATGAAAATATTCTATAAGGGTGGAAAAGTTACTTAGTGTTGTTCCAATAAAATAAAGAAGAGCGTGTTAGTGACCGGGAGTTAGTAGAGGAGTGTGATGGACAATTGGTTGGGGCATAGAGCTTGGAATCCTGAGGTTCTGAGTTCCAGCCCCACCCTCACATACTGCCACTCTAGCTCTCTGAGCAAGACCCTTAACCCCATACTGCTCCCCAGGCGCCTCATGATGGCAGCTCATTGCTCCCAAAGGGGATGGGATAAATGAAGAGGTAAATTTCTCCAATGTGAGATCAATAAAGTTCAAGTATTATTGTACATTTATAATAATCCTTTAAACTTAACTATGAAACTTATCAATATTACTAAATAGATTCAACAAATACTATTGACGCATCTCAAAATCATTGTATACTGGAACCAGACAGCCACATAATGTCCCAAAAGAGTTGACATTAACATGCAACACCAATTTGGTAAAAAGCCTAAAGGAAAAGTAGCAGGCATGACATTTGATCTTAGGCACATACAGTTTACAGTTGCATAAATAACCCTATTTATTTAGAGATAGAAACACACCAAGGGAACGGGTGACCGTGCTAGCTTACAAAGAAAGAAACGCTGGAATAATGAGGACCCATTCAGGCGGTTTCCTTCCTGTGTTTTCCTTCATCTACAGCACAATGTTTCAATGTGCGCATATCAGCATAAACAGGATGTAATACACAGAGCCCCTCCCCAAACAAAGGAAACACTTTTCAACAGTTCAGAGAAGAGCTAAGGAACATTTCCAGTGGAGAGGGGAAGGGAGGACACCCTCTGGCTGGTGGAAATTAGCTCCAGAGTTATGCTGATCACCAAACATCTAAGTGTGCAATGTGGGTGTGGGTGTGTGCAGGGAGAAGGTTGCAACAGCGTTACCTCTCAGAAAGCTGTCTGATTTGGGGTATGCCCATGTATTTCTGGAAATGTTCAAGCACGTTGACGACTCCCTGCAGCAAGTTGGCCACGTCACAATACTGCCTCTTTCTGGTCATAGCTCTAAAACAAAACAAAAGTTAAAGAACAAGTTAGAACACATTTATTAACATGGTCCATGTGTATATTGATTATTATCAGTGTATCTCCAGTATTATGTGGAAATGTTTACTAAAGAGATGAACACACTCAAGACACTTATAGGAGTCCTACTTAAGGTGTCGAACTACATTACTTGAAACAAGATGAATCCCACAAGCATTTTTTTCTAGTTTTTACATAAAGTGGCACCATGTAGCATGTAATGGAATCTCCTTCCAGGAATTTGTCTCTATTGACAACAAAAACTCACCAATAACCATTAAGCTGAGAACATGCGGTATATTGATTAATGCAAGGCCAATGCAAGGCCAAACCAGAGAAGAAAATCATAGATCAAAGACAACCTAAGCCGTGTTAATGCTGGATGCGTTCTCAAGGTCCGTGTGGCCAACGCCTACAACTTTGGCACTGTGAACCTTTTGAAAATTTGTAACTAATGGGACAGATCCATGGGAAAAACATAGTGGACATAGAGTGACAGTTCCTGCTTGACAAGGTTTGCAAATATATAAACCTCTAAAGACATTGTATGAGTTGGTCCATAAATATTATGGCATATTTATTGTGCCACAGACCTGAGTGCTCACAACCGTCTGCCTCGTGCTAAACTCTGCTCCACCACCTGTGCTCTTGTTTCACTCCATTTGCTCATATACTCCACAAAGTTTCTGTGCAAGCTCAACCTTATCTCTGCACACACTCTGCTTGGTCCTTGCTCACTGACCTGCACTCATTACTTGCTTAACTGTATGAAAATTGCACCAACCAGCCAATCAAAGACAGGCCTTTTTCATCCAATCAAGGTAATCCTTCCAAATATTTCCTGTAAATGCAAATACTGCCCCTAAAATGGCAGAGTTCACAAGGCTAAATGGTAGGATTTATGAAAAACACATCAGACTGTGTTAAAAGTGTAAAAAGTTCTATATTAACTTAAGGTTTAATACGCCATAAAACATCACTATGATCAACACATTGGAAATACTAGGAAAGAAATTTCCAATCTTGAATGACACAGCTGTGTTTTCATGTTCTACATGTTGTGTGGTGTTTGTAGCTCCTGGTCTGTGTTCTACATGCCCTCCTAGATACGCCCAAACTATTAGGTACAAGTGGGATTATAAAAAGTATAAAAGCTGCAAAGGGTGTGTTCAACACAGAACATACTTGCATCAAGCATAACTAAGCCTTTAAGCCTTGTGTGCAAAACAATCAACCATAAACAATTTCCTTTTTCTGTTAACCGCCACATAAAATGGTTTAAATAGTGACCTCCATGCTCAACACTTCTGGAGAAATGATAATCACTGTGTCATTCCCCTCCAGGCCACCAGGAGGCAGTACTTACATTGACATGTGTATAAACATTCCCTGCTTACATTAAACAATACATTTTTAATAAATAAAAAACTGCTGCTTTAGAGAACTTTGATTTACAAAACCACCACTCTTTCACTCACTCTAAAGAGTCAACACCCCCTGCTAGCATATGCAGGTGGTTGAGGGTGGTTATGGAGGTAGTTAGATGGCGCTTGGCGTGATCCAGCTGCTTGATGTCTCTTGTAATCTCCTTGACCTGTGTAGTACAAGAAAAGACTTGAAGTATATGGAGAATCAAATATTAAGTCCCTGCCATGCTCACTGTGAGTCACTGACTCCCTTTAGATGTTGGCACATTCATCAAATGGGGGGTTTTACTGAGCAAACTTCTCTTTGGCCAAAGAAAAGTAGTTGATTCTGCTCATACATATTCGCTAGCTGCTATTAAGCCCTGCTATTCAATTTCTACATGCTCCTTCTAACTCAGATCCTAATAAACAACAGAAGCTGCCAAACTATGCATACGACACACAGATGTACATCACGTTGTCACCAGGTGACCATGAACCCATCTTGTAAGTGCGTTAAAGACACACAAGTGCCAAAATTTTCTTCAGATGATAAAAGTCTATCGACAACAAAGAGCATTCAAAAGTAAGCACGAAAACAGCTAAAACCACCAATCAGGCTTAAAGGAAAACGCCGTTGTTTTTACATTGGGCCCTTGATTTTACGTTATTACATCATGTTCTACTCACCCATATGAGTTTTGTGTCTTTTGGAGCCGTTCTAAAGATATTCCATTAGGTTATATCCAGGTAACGTCTTCCTATGGGCAATGACTTGAAGGCACAAACTAAACTGTTCATAATTTATCATTTATGGTTCATAACTTGTAGGCGAATCACTGTCCGCGGTTATATTTTTTATATTTATATTTTTAAAAAACAAAGCGGCGCGTGTTTGACGTCATCCGCGCGCGCCGGCTACCATTCATTCATCCTGTCCGCTGAACTGCTGCTAGTTTTACTCAGATGCCTGGAAGATCTCTAGTGCTGCTACCACAGATGATCTCACTCTTGAAATGGAATTGAACTATTTAGATTAGCTAGACGAATGAATAGAAGGGGTAGAGCGTAGCTGCCTGTGGCCCGAGCTGCCTGTCACAACTCCGGTCCGGCGCGCGGATGACGTCATACACACGTCGCTTTGTTTTTATAAGATATAAATATAAATAATATAACCGCGGATGTCTGGGGGACAGTGATTCGCTTACATGTTATGAATGCTGGCGTACCATAAAGAATTAATTATGAACAGTTTAGTTTGTGCCTTCAAGTTGTTTGCCCATAGGAAGAGGTTACTTGGATATAACCTAACCGAATATCTTCAGAACGGCTCCAAATGACACAAAACTCATATGGGTGAGTAGAACATGATGTAATAACGTAAAATCAAGGGCAAAATGTAAAAAAAAAATATGCCTTTTCCTTTAAAATCTGGGTCCAGGACTGAACTTTCAAAGTCACAAAAAGACAGTAAAGCCCTTTGCCCACTGAAATTAACAGGTCAACCTGGGTTTTTCAAACACAGGGGTTTGTGCGCCCATTGCACCAACAGCTTCTCCAATGCTATAGTGGCTATAGTTAATAGTGACAGTTAATAGTGATAATATAACTACATAAGTTATACATAACTTGATAACAAAATGATTTCCTTCTTTAAATAAAAGCTGCATCTCCAAAGAACAACAACAAAGCCCTTTTATGTTTTTTGTTTGTGTGTACGTTTTGCTGTGTGTACCATTTGTTCCGACTTCTCAGCTTTGTCCTTAATGTCTTTGATTTTGCCAAATAGCTGCTGGATGGCTATCTGGGCTTCCTCCAAAGCCTGCAGAAAATAAACAGAGCAAAGCTAAACAAGCACACTCAGAGAAACAATTTTTGATTACTGAACAAGACACATTAGAGGCACTTAATGTTACAAAGTGCTGGAAAATAGATATTATACCACAACATAATAGAGAGTTTTCCGTCTGAAGGCACATAAAACAGTACAGCATACAACAATAAAGGACTTAAAAAGCTTTGAGGTCTATTGCTTGTGACCACTTTAAAAGATTACAGGGGAGTCCAACTCCTTTGAAGAAAAATGTTCTTTGCCCTGTACTTTACCTAAACGGAGTTTATAAACTTTGCAGCAGAAATGACAAAAAAAAAAAAAAACAGTTGGCAAAGTGAGAACTTGCGCACATAAGGCTTTTGTGCTACCTCCCACCGGTTTATCAAATGTATGCCGTATTTATGAGAAGCAAAAGATGGCGCAGATTTTTGGTCAGATTAAATATCATAGCACACTTTTTTAACCATTATAACTTGTCTGCTCTGCTTTGATTTTAAGTATTTTCAGTCACCAAAGTTCTGTTATTAAAAAATGTCCATAAATACTAATGTGTTAAATATGCAAAGCTTAAAACAGTACGAATAAAACAATTGAATTGACACTATGATATAGTTTTTAATCATAATAATGTGCTGTCACGCTGTTCCTTCCTACTTCCATTTAGGCTAAATGGTCCAAGAAATCTTACATGTAAATTAAATAAAAGGTATACATTTATTTGTGGAAACTTTGTAATCTACTCCATTTCTACCTCTTTGACTTTTAAGCGTTAAATATCATCCCAGAGCACTGAGATTATATTACATTTTATTGTCAGTAGTCTAGATATAAAAACATAAAAATAAACTGATAAGAATTTTAATAGCGGTTCACAAATATTGGGTGTTGATCTCGATTTTCAGAACCACTGTCAGACAGGAAAAATTGGACTTTTACACATGGAAATAAAATAATTCTAAATACAAAACCATTGATGTTTAAATCAAGTAAAACATACCTAACATTTTAAAATATGAGGAAAATTTTTATCATGGATGTCTGAGTAACATAACCCGAGAAAATTTGGTTCCCCTTTTAAAACTGGCCACAGTAAAGCATTGTGCCACTAATGTCAACCCCAACACCAGGGCACCATTCACAGTACAATTTGCACACATAATTAACAAACTGGCACAATATCAAAACATTAACAGGGCTTAAGATGAAAAAAAGGGCAAAGGTTAAGTTGAGTATAAAGGCTCATACTTTTAAGGCTAAAGAGATCATCAGCTGTTTTTTCAGACTATATACCATTAGCCAGCTACTGTACAGCTGTAAGATTTTCTCAAGTTTTCCCCCATTATCTGATAAAAGCAGCTGCTCTTTGATGGTCCTGAAACCGAGGTAATTAGCCTAATTTGGTCCCGTTGGTGTGGTGGCACAGCAGAGACAACTCAGTCTCTCTAGATTCTCTCCACACACATGTACAGGAGGAATGGAAACAGCCGACACCAGCTGTCTGAGGAATTTACCGCTTTCACAGCACCTCTGACAAACAAATGGACAGCAAGCAGGCTCACGCCGAAGTAAATACCTTGTGTGTTGACAAGAACTGATTAATTATCCTTTCTCTGAGTGTTTATGTAAAAAAACATCTGAATTGTTTTGCTCGTAAATCATTCAAAGCGTGGCTTTTTCAGACTAAGCTTAGACTCTATATTTCTAGAGATACCATATTTTTTTCCCCTCTCAGGGCAGCACAGCAAGTCTGGTTCTAATTAAGCAAAGAGAATCGAAATGTAGCTCTGCTTTATACATCTTACTTTCCTTTTACCCACACATTTTAGCTAATTAAGGAATTAATTGTAGGAAATTAAATAAGAGGTGAAGCTTGTTTGATCTGAGCCCCGTGAGGGTGTAAGTGCCACTGAATCTTTTAAGAGGTTTGCTGGAGTGGCTCTTAAATAAACAAATGCAAGAACTTCCAATGGTGCAACTGTTGCACATGCAGTCTCAGCTGAGTGAATCAGGCACACTTCCTAGTGCCTTTTTCCTGTATTTAGCCTGGAAGAAAGCTCAAAGGATATATGTCTAGCAGTCGCCTCCAAACTAGAGATGATATCGGCGTTCCCACAAACCAGTGCATTGCTGACATGCAACAAGCTGCACATGTTCCGATGCTCACAAAGGCAGCAATGTAAAGTTTAGATAAGACGCAGTGGAGCCTCTTTTTAAAAACATTTGCACATGCTAAAGATAAACCCTACTCGTCTTGCAGGCAGACCTCAGTGGAGTGGTTCGAGAAGGAGGGCACATTAAAAGGTACTTCTGAATTTAAAGCTAAACACTGCAGTAAATCAGATCAGCTAAACAGAGCTATTTTAGCAGCTGGGACTTTGTCTGAACAACACCCTCCACCCTACATGTGTAAACACTGTAACTGACAAGAGAATACCTCTTTGAGTTAAAATTCTGTATGCAAGCCAAGAATAAATAATAACTTTTTTTTTCTCTCTACTTTCCTTCCCCTTGGACCTTTGTTTTTTTTTTCCTGACAGACTGAATTGTTAAAAAAAAAAGGAAATTTGTTTTTCTCTTGTTTTGCGATGTCATATCTAGACAAGGTCATACTGGTAGAAACAAAGCTCTGCACAACATTTACATAACAGTTACAAAATCTCACACTTGGATTTTAGTTTCTCAACATAAATAAGGGGCTGTGTGATTAAAAACAAAACAAAAACAAAACAAAAAAAAGTGACTAAATAAAGATAGCGTTTGTGAATGGGTGAATGACTGAATGTAATGTAAAGCACTTTGGTCAAGTCTCCTGACATGTGAAAGCGCTATATAAATACAGACCATTCAAAGTAGACATATTTGTGCAAAATCCACTTTTTCAACTTATAACATTTTTATTTGTCTGTGCTTGATGGTTCTAAATGAGTTTAATTCATTCTCCAGGTCATGTTTTGGTATTTTTAGATGTGCTCTATGTGGCATTTTTTTAGTCTTCTTTTTAGTTTCTATTGTGTCTTGTTCTCTATTACGTCACAGTGTTTGCAGTGGAACCGCTCAACAATATCATGGACATCTGGTTGTCAATCCATTGAGTTGCAAGCTGAAAGATACCGAAGCCCCAAAAGATGCATTTAAATGTTTGCTTGCTGGGTAAATTAACCCACGTGAGTCCTTACACTTTCCCCAGGATCAACATTCCTTCTAAGTTGCCTGTTAAAACCATTTCTTCAATGTACATAGATCTGCAGGGAAATTGATTTAAGCAAAGCATTTCAAGGAACCTTGATTCTCGTTGATTTGTTTAGCAATCTGTCTGGTTGCAGTTTTTTCTTTGTGAAAACATGATCTGGAAACAAGTGATTTTTCTGACTTTAATGTTAGCTGTTAGCCAAGGTTAAAACGTTAAGAGACCTAACTATGTTGAGGTCTTTTCTAAAAGACATGTTTAAGAATCAAAACTCTTTATTTTTACTTTTGACCTATAATAAAAAGTTGTATGCAGGCACTGCTCAGAATGCACATATATAAAACAGACTAAATAAAACCTTAACAAAGGAATGTCACTGGAGCTAATTACTATTGTGATTTGCTCAAGCTTTCCAAGCTATTTTTTAAGAATTTAAATTTTTCATGTAGCCTATAATGATAGGCACGTAAGTCATATAGGAATATAGGTTTTTTTGGAGTCTACTCGCGTATGGACCTTCGCAACTGTAGGTAGGGCTGAATAGAAAATTCTTCAATTGTTGGCATCTTTCAATAGATATTCTGGGGAAAAATGTTCTTACATCATTAGATGATCGGATATCTGCTATTAAACATGGCAGAACGGAGTTGAGTGTTATATGGGCCAAAACTAAATGTTTTAAATAGGAAAAGTAAGAAATTAAAAGAATGACATGTGTCCTTTAAAAATTTAATAAGCAGGGCAAAGTTTGTTTGTTTAGGGTTCAGTTAAAACTTGCTAGAAATTCCGGAATTTGAGAGGAATTGGGGTTTTTGGTGTGGACTCGTTCCACAAAGAAGGATTTTGGTCCTCCTTGTGTACTAACATCACTCCTGAAAAGGCTGCTAGCATCAGCACACCTTGCCATCGCCACTCTCTTCTCTCATTCCCGCGAAATGGGACTCATCAGCAGGCAGTCGGTAATTGTTGGTACCTGTATAACTTCTTACTCACTGTGCAGGCGACTTGGAAACTGCAAAACTCTGGATCTCTGAGCAAAACCCTTAACCCCACACTGCTCTCTTAGCAGCCCATGAGATCAAAAAAGTTCAATTATTAGTATTATGTTATCAGGTTTCTCAGCTCCAGAGGTGGGTAGTAACTAATTACTAGGGCTGGTTAAAAAAATCGACTTAATCGATTTTGAATCGATTCTTTTACATTTTTGCAAAATCGATGTCTAGGGAATGAGATTGATTAGTTTTATAGTGACGTGCGTATATAGCCAATAGGTTGACTGAAGACATTAACAAATGGGGGCTGACCAGCAAACACCCTGTAATTGTTACAGACAACGCTGCAAATATGGTTTGTGCAGTGAAGATAATTCAGCTCATGCATGTCTGCTGTGTCCCCGCTGTGTCACATCTGCTTGCTCGAGTGAGTTTTTCACTTTTTCACTTTTCACAAACAAGTTTGCACTTTTGTCCATATCTCAAGTTTAAACTGTCTGATTTACAAGTTTGCATTTGGTGTTTAATGTGACAGGAAAAAATATAATTCACGAGTATTTTGAAACACAGTTGAACCACTTTCATTATTGTAAAAACAGATCGAATCGAAATTAATCAATTTAGAACTGTATTAATCAAAATCAAATCGATTCAGGACTTTGGCGAAAATACCCAGCCCTACTAAATACATTTACTCATTTACATTTACTTGAGTAATTTTTTTAGGGAAAGAAACATTCTAGGAGCAGTTTTACAGTATTGGACTTTTTACTTTTACTTGAGTTAAATTTCTGGCTACACCATCCATT